CCAGGCCAAGCGGAGAGGGGTACCCGGGGTGGGGGAGGCCCCTTCAGCCCCAGCAGGAAACCGGCGCGGGAGGCGCCCCCCAAACCGCTGCCCCCAGCCCCGGCGGTACCTGCTGTGCTTCTCTCTTCCAGTCTATTATGTCCTATAACGGCGGGGCCGTCATGGCCCTGAAGGGGGAGAACTGCGTGGCCATTGCCGCGGACCGGCGGTTTGGGATTCAAGCGCAGATGGTGACCACTGACTTCCAGAAGATTTTCCCTATGGGAGAAAGACTCTATATCGGATTGGCAGGACTGGCCACGGACGTGCAGACGGTGTAAGTGAGACTCCCTCCCGGCCCTGTGTTCCTATCCTGAGCCTCTAAGAGGTGTATTTACAGTAAATACTAAGTGGTGGCTTATGCTGAGCATAAATGTCTTTGTTCATGGGGGAGGGTGTAATAGCTGGGTGCCAGCACTCCTTTTCTTGGCCTCCCTTCAGACTGGAAGTTTAAAATAAAACTGCATGTGATCACTACACTAAGACTTCATAACTTTGGGTATAAAAGGAGCTGCATCTGGCGTACCTACCTGCCTCACGCATGCGTCAGGAGTTGGTGTCTGTCAGCGTGCAGTAGTTCAGGTCTGGGTGAAGATGAAAGAAAAAGGAACCTGCTTCTGCTTTAATGCTGATTCTCATCTCTTGCAGTGCCCAGAGACTGAAGTTCAGGCTGAACCTCTACGAGCTGAAGGAAGGCAGGCAGATCAAACCTCAGACTTTTATGAGCATGGTTTCCAATCTGCTCTATGAGAGACGGTAACTGTCAAACAATGGAGTCGCTGTTTACGTGTCGGTGAAGCCTGGGGTTGTTGGAGTTGATCTGATTCTGGAGGTGGGAGGCTGAGGAGGGCTCCTGTAAGGAGTACTTGTGGTACAGCAAAAGGAGACTTCACTTTAGTGACGGCATTACCTTCAGCTTCTTTGCAAAAGAATATTGGATATTGTTAAAATAATGCTGTAGTAGTACAGGGTTGCTCTCTTTGCCACGCTCAAACCATTGCAGGGTGCTCCGAGCCTGACCTGAAAGCTCCCCCCACCAAAAAGCTCCCCCCACCAAAGGCATCCGTGGGATGTTTTCCTTGTGTGGATATTTACGTGGGGTGCGGAACTGCTTCAGGGGGGTCAGACTCTCTCTGCCATGTTGTTTTTCGCAGGTTTGGACCTTACTACACAGAGCCGGTCATTGCCGGGCTGGACCCCGTAACACACGAACCTTTCATCTGCTCTCTAGACCTGATCGGCTGCCCGATGATCACCGATGACTTCGTGGTCAGCGGCACCTGCTCCGAGCAGATGTACGGCATGTGCGAGTCCCTCTGGGAGCCCGACATGGTGAGTGCGGGGGGCTCAGCTCCCGAGCCGTGGGTTCAGCCTCCTGCTGTTCACTGGAGAACCTGAGAGAGGTGGGTGGGATGACAAACTGTGTCCTTTGGTACTTCCCGAAGGAGCTCGGGAGAACAAAGAGGCTGTCGGTTATAGCAGCCCGCAGGGAAAACCGTGCGGCAGCTTGGAGATGAAACTTTGGGGTCTGAGCAAAATCCAAGGACTCAACGCTCAGTTTTTACGCCAACTGAAACGGGTTCTTCCGTTCCTCAGGAACCCGATCACCTCTTCGAAACCATCTCGCAGGCCATGTTGAACGCAGTGGACAGAGATGCCATATCTGGAATGGGCGTGGTGGTACACATAATGTGAGTGCTGCTCTCCTCCCCTGCGGAACAGAGGCAGAAGTGAACAAGCTGGGCGTTAAAGTCGGTTCAGGGATTGGTTTCCAGGGTATCCCTAATCCTGCTGCCTTCCAGCCGTAGCTTTAGCCATGTTGTGTGCGCTCTAAGTGTTTTATTTCTGCTGGCTGCTCCCTGTTGCAGTTCGTGGCTGTTGCTAGAACTGCAGGAGCCGTGGGGAATTAACCCTCGCGTCAGACTTGCTGCGTAGGGATTCCCTGGCTGCCTGCCCATCGGTGTTTAGCTGTGTGACTCCTCACCTACGGGTGGCACTGGCCAGGAGGGTGCTGTTTGCCACACCTGGCTCCTGACTCTGCAATCCCCCTGCCTTCTGAGGCAGCCGATGTTGCTTGTGGTGCTGTTTCCCTGCAGCATCCCAGGCGCTGCTGCTCACTGAACCCGCTGGAGCTCCCCTGGGGTGAAGGAGGGTGGGTTTTCCTCGGTTGTATCGGCCCCTTTCAGGTTCAGAAGGTCCTGCCTGCACTAGCAAACAACCCGCCTGTGCACACTGCAGCTTCCTAACGAAGGGACCACGTGTACGTCGGTACTAAACGTGGATTCACTAATTGTCTTCTCTCTTTTCCCCCCCTCTAGTGAAAAAGACAAGATCACCACCAGGACCCTGAAAGCTCGCATGGACTAGCCCAGCACAGCTGCTCACGTGTTTCGCACCCCAGTCTGCTTGGAACTCTTTTTTTAAAATAAAACTCTACTGTAGTGAACTTTCCTTTTCTTGACTCTGAACGCTAGGATTAAGTTCTCATCTCTAAAGCTGTCAGAAGGAGCTTGGGTTTCACACAGCAGCAGAGCTTACCTTTCTCTCCGAGCCACCTATACTAATCCCCCTCAGTACGCCCGTGTGGGCGAGGGACTGAGCTTCAGCTGCGCCCGGGCAGTCGGCACCAGCTCCTGCAGACAGTCTGGCAGCAGTAGCTTCTCCTGTCAAATCTAATTTGTTCTCATATCCAATATCTCATATTGGTAAAATCAGTTCTTACTTAACCCCCTCCCAATTTTACAGGCATGTATTAAAAAAAAAGACTTTTTCACTTGTGGTTAATCTAGGACTGAAAACGACCACATACCTCATGGAGATGATCATTAGAGCACTTCAAAGAGGACAGCAGTAAGGAACAGATGTACACAAAGTTTTAATTTTATTTTTCTCTGGTTGGAGACTCATCTTGTAACATGCATGCATTTCAAAACAGTAACAGTGTCTCAAACTGCTCCTAGCAAACAGACAAGCACAGAGGACTTAAAATTCCTATTTAAAAAACAGCAGTGAAAAAACCTAGAATGCTTTTTTTTTTCTTTTTAGTTTTAGATTAAACTTAATTTATTCACATTTTTTCAGTTGCACTGATTAGCCCTGCCCGCCCTTGTGACCTGTGTGCAATACGCTCACTTGACACACCTCGATCCGGCTGCACTGAGCACGGTGCAGCCAAACAAAGACCAGCCCAACTTCTGCCTGGTGAAAACCGAGGGATGACCAGCAGTTGGCTCCCCGAGCTTTGCCATCGCTATCACACAAGATACTCATTCCCAAGAGCAAGGAAAACCAGTAGTGGCTAATGTGGATACTGGAGAATGGCTCTGCAGAAGTAGGGGAAGGTGACAGGCAAACCCGACACAGGGGGGGAGAGGAGAGCTGATTTGTTTTCGGAGCTGTGGTAAGGAGGATCTGTTGTGGATGGGTTACACAGTGTGGCAAACCCAGGTTAGGACGCGCACACTGACTTCTGAAAGGTTTGTACCACCTCGGGGTTAAACACTTTGACCTCTGTGCAGCTTGGAGGGAGGCATCTAAAGACTGCATAGTAGTCACAGGATGGGAGGCAGCCGTCTGTCGAGGCGAAGACACAACCCCAACCCCTACCAAACGCGGCCCGTAACTACAACACAACCTCGCTCTGTGCCTTTCTCGGGCCAAGAGGCCAGTCCTCAGCTGAAGTCCCCGCTGCAGCAGCGCTCTGGAGGGGAAAGCAGGAGTTTCCTCCCAGAAAGGGAAAGCAGACTCAAGTGTTTTAGTGTTCCTGCCGATTATGATAATCCAATTCAAAGCCAGGACCCTACAGCCTCATTTCTACAGGAAATCTGGAGTCACCTACTACCCCAAAAGTTCTCCCTGTGATGAATTTCATCATCAGGGCTTTCATAATGAAAACCAGGTCAATCAGATGCGTGTACAAGACCAGAGGGAAGGATCCCACCGCTCCTCGCTGCGAGAAGGGAGCTCCTGCTGACGTCGCTCTTGCGCGTGGCGAACGCCAGGCCCTGACGCAACGGGCGGGTGCTGCCTGGTACCCCCACAACACGCGGCTCCTACACGTTCTCGAGTGGTTTTTATTGCACTATTGGAGCAGAACAGCACCCAAACTGTGACTCCGCACTCTGCCTTCCCTCTCCCACTCTTATTTACGCTGTAGGAGCTCTGTCAACAGGGAAGATGGAAGTTCTAGGTTCAAAGCAGTTTTTAGTTCTTAAATTTTGACAGATCAGGCCCACGTTCAGAAAAGAGAGACCCTCAGGACAGGCAGGACACGGCTCCTGCAGCTCACTTCTCACACGCACTCACCCTGCCTTGGGGCACTGGAGGGACACGCTGCACACTAATAAGCTTTTTTTTTTTTCCTTTTCGAAACTCCAGTTGACCAAAGAATTGTGCTGCAGGATCTTGAGAAGTCCTGCGCTCTGACCAGGATCGGAGAGATCTGCCTACCTACTGCAGCGCTTTCAGCCGAGGGTGGGTTTCAGTCAAATGCACTTCAGTGTAAAGTGTTCCGCAGGGTACATGCTACAGACAGAAATATCTACATTCAGCAAACTAGAACTAAATTCACACCAGTAACAGACAACAAACTAGCACAAGCAGTTGTAAAACCAGAATTGAAAGGGCTGGGTTTTCCTTTTAAATACTTGAGTTAAAAAAAGTGACCTAAAACAAGATTTAAAAAAACAAAACAAAACAAAACAACAACAACAAAAAAACAAACCCAAAAGAAAAAGTCCCTTTTAAAAACAAATCAAATATTTGCAGCTTCACTTCTTATTCTGGTAATAAAAATACTGTCTAGAAACAAAAATTAGCATTTTTAACGTAATGCTACCTCTCAAAATGTAAACAATATACAAAATGCTTATGTTAAACAAAGTTACATACCTGGGTAATACATCATATTAAGTGAGAAAATTGCATTTAATTACTTTAATACACACAGTATGGCAACTTGACAGAAGTGGCAGAATTGGGGAAGTGCTAAAGTGAACAGAGTTTATGGGGCTTTTCATGTCACTTGAGCCAGAGACAGCCAATTTAGTTCTAGCAGGAGTTTGTCTGGAGTGGGAAAAGAAAATACAGTTAACTGCTCTTAAGCCCTTGGTATCCTGACTTCCGAAAAAAATACTGCTGCAGGAACTAACTGCATTTTCATTTCATGCCTGTTTATGAAACTCCGTGGATGAGCCTGTTGCTCCAAGCTATGCAAGCTTCATTCTCCTACTTTCTTTGGGTTGTTTGTTTTGTAGTGTCTCAGTGCAGGAGGTCTGCAGTTCACTAATTTCCTTCTCTTTTCCTCCCCCCTTTTTCTCTTCTGTTTTAAACAGGTGATTTAAAGATAAACCGTTTAAAAGGTACGAGCTAGTTTCCCAAAAGGAGAACGGCAGACTTACCAGGCCAAAGTTGCAGATTCAATGCAGATTTTTAAAACTGTCAAGAATAAAAAGTGATTGGGATTTAATTTCTAATTGATAGTAAACTTAAGTGCTTATTGTTTAAGAGAAAAGCGACCGACATAATGCCCACAAAACTAAGCCGATGATACCCTCTAAGTCCTCCCTTCTGTAAAGCATTCTCATAGCTGCATTTGTTTTGTGACTTTTCCAGCTACACACCTTAAGACATGAGACTCTTCAGCCTCCCAGACAACGGTGTGTTAGCCCCCACGTCACACAGAACAGGGACTGGACTACAGTGGCAGAAAAAATTTGTCCCATGTCAAAGGGAATGACCCACGAATGAGTAAAAAGATTCATATCCCATTACGACCCCGAATATTAACTTCTGATTTCTTAAAGACTCTATTTACAGTGCACTCTCACGGGCTGAAACTTTAGCCCCCTTTTGTCCCCTTCGAAGTTGAGACCTGTGGGATTCACAGCACGAATGTGGGTATGAACATAAAAAAAAAAAACCCCAAGCCCACATTCAGAATCCAGACCAGAGCTAGCGTTAGTCTAGGGAAATTACCAGGATGTGATGAGCACCAGTTATCTCTCAAAAGGACCAAATTCCACACAGCAAACTGTAGCACGCGTTACAGCACAGGACAGACATTCGAAACAGCTTATTCCCGAAACAAAGGCATATGTGAAAACAGTTTCAAGGCAGATAAGCAACATGTTTCAACTGCAAGAGGTTTGTTCAAAACTCTAAATCCGGCTTAAAAAGGAAATTAAAAAAAGAACCGAAGGATCTGTAACTGTTGTGCAGCAGAGCTAACGAAACCCAAAGCAAGTCTGACAAGCTTGGCTGTGAAAAATATTACAAGCATTCTGGAGACAAAACAGGACGTTATTCAGTCACGCAAATCAGTTCCAATTCCTTAGGGGGGGGAAAATAATCTGGCGCAAGTGTTCAAACATTTCCACTCCTTGACTGTCGCTCTAGAGAGGGGTATGGAGCAGAGAAGAGTAAAACCAATCACAGCTCAAGTCCTGAGTCCTCTTGAGCCGTGGAACTTGCTCCGCAGTCACAGCTCCCAGCACTCCCCACTGGTAGCGAGTCCAATTCCTTCGTGTGCAAGTCACATTGCCATTTAAAAAAACAAAACAAAAAAACCCAACAACTAACCAAAGAACCTCTGTCAGGAAACAGATTCAAGTACCTGTTGCAGATCGGGCAAGTAAGGAAGACTGAACATTAGCTAGATTAACACTGGCAGAACTGCGATGGGAAGCTGTAATCTAAGAGACACGGCAAGTCCTGACTGAGGTGAGACAGGGAAATGTTCCGGATAGTCGAGCACTATCCCATATCTACAGGTACAAAATGCCTTTTTTTTTTTTTTTCTTTTTTCTTTTATGAAATCTTCATAGCTGGCCAATTGAAAGCACAATGGGTCCGAGCACATTATTATCTGAGGTTGTTCAATGCCTCTACTACTTCTCACACTGTTGGGTTGTTTTCTTTTTCAGGTTCTACGAGTTACACCTTTTTAAGCGATCATCTTTGGTAGATGTTCATTTCCCTCATCTTTCTTGTAAATCAAGTGCAGTTACAAAAAAAGTTTGTTACTTAAATTAACCAAAAAATATAAAGTGTCCCAGTCTGAATTTACCTAAAGTTCAGCGACTCCTCCTTATCAGAGTAATATTTTCCGCCCTTGAAATGGTGAGCTATTTTCCTTCCAATTCCTACCAAGAGGGAAATAAAAGGGTTTGTACGTCTTTCTGGTAAAGACAGTCCAATAAAAAAAAAAAAAGTAGTAGTTTGTGGAATCAGGCACTGCTTCACTCCCACTGAACGCGATCTAGAGCGACCCCTTTTACGCAGTGCCACACATCATATCCCTATGGGATTCTCTCCATCAGAGAGGAGAAAACGTCATTAGAAAGAGCAGTGCTGAAACAATGCACTTTTCTTGTTTTAAAAAGCCCTCAAATCTATGTCTGGGCACTTCTGTAACATAAAAACCCACTTTTCCACCTGGGTCAAGTGGACTGTTGGAGGGTGCACCTAGAATTAGTTTTCTCTGAAGTCACGCAGTGCCACACACTCACTCTTGCACACGCACGCACACACACACACACACGCACATGCACACCCCACATGCTGCTACAGTGTCTGTTTTAGTGTCACAGGCTGCATTCTCTGTTTGGAAGTAGCCCCTCTTCTCTTCATCTCTCGCTGAAGGCTGAAGACGACTATGTCAGGATATTGGAGATAAATTCATTGAAGCGTTTAGAGTACTGCTCTGGGTTCACGGTGGAGATCTCTGCCCCAGCCTGCAAGGCAGAGAGGAGAGACAAGTCACAACACCTCCTCGAAGGGCAGACCCTGCAGCACTGCGAAGGGTGCAGGAGGGAGGACAGCAGGGAGCAATCATGGCAGCACAGCCCGTCTCTGCCGGGAAAGACCCACAACAACTTGCAAGTTCTAGGAAAAAACATCCAGAGAGGCCTAGAGAGCTCCCCAAGGAAACTGATTTTAGCTCCAGCTGGATCTTCTGCAGACCACCGAGTCAAAGCATTGGATTTGTTCCCTCATGGTTTAGAGGAGGTTTGGAAGGAGCATGAAAAACTCCATGTCCCGCTAACCTGGGCTTTTTTTCAAGCCCTTTTGGGAAGCTCAGGATTGCCGCCAGCGAAGAGGACTGGCCCCAGGAAGGGGGCAGGGTGGTATGTCTCCCTGCAGCCAGTCCTTTCCCGCCCTGTGAGGCTGTTGGTGTCACACCAGGGAAATCAAGCACCTCCCAAACTGGGACATAAACGCAAGTCACCTCCAACCAACCAGAGGGAAAGCCTTTCCAAGCCGGTCTGAGGGGACAGTAAGCGAGGGAAGAGCTGGTCTGGGGCACGGGATCGCTGGAGAATTTCACACATACACACACAGGCATGCAGGCCAAGCAGAAGCCCCAAAGTTCATCCTCCCTGCGGGTGGCCGGCTGCTTACCCCGTGTTTCACTGTTTTGGCAGCGTGTGCAGCTTTCTTCTTCGCATCATATGGCGTAAGAATGTCTATAATGGCCATGAAGTACACTTCCTTCTTGGGGGCACCTAGCAAGGCAAGAGAGTCGCTAGCACACCCTGCGCCGTGAGCAAGGCCCAGCTGCACCCCCCCCCTCCTGACGAAATACACGGCAGGTCTGTTTTGATGCAACTAGCAGAGAAAGCAAGGCAGCTGGAGGCTGGAGAGGAGCAGAGAGGAAGGACTGGAAACAGCACACCAGAGGCCCACGCACGCTCTCAGCATGCCCCTACTCTCCAAGCATCACTTCTACCCCCTTCCAACTCACACCATCCACAGCAAGCGACTGCACAGCAGAGACGCTTGGCAGGGTCTCTCTCGCTCTGCGGACGGTCCTCCCACTCCGTGCAGCCCAGCCAGACCACAGGACACCTCCTCCGCCCTCCAGACCTTCCTCAGGGCAATATTCCACGCTACTCACTTTCGTGGCTTTTCATGGCGTAGACGTCGACCGAAGGATCGAACTCTCCAGGCCCAAAGAAGCGAGGGTAGTTGAGGAGATTGCCGGGGCTGTCAGGGGGTGTGCCATAGGAGGAAATGGGGTTGCCTCCGAGACCATCGTTCTCACACTCCTCGTCCTCTGCCCGATCCTCCACTTCCATCTCTTCCTGCTCTGCTCGGTCAACATCGTGGATCCCGACCAGCAAGCTGTAGTCCATAATCTTCAGCTGAGCTAAAAACTGGGAGAAAGCAACGAGTGAGAACAACAGCATCCACGTGGGATCAGAAACCCTCAGTCCTACCCTGGCAGCATCTCCCCAAACAGAAAGGGCTGCAGTGAGAGCTAAACCCTTATCAGACTCCAGAGAACCTGCACATGATCTCATATGCCCACTGCCATCAGCATAACCCTGACCCTATTTGCTTGACTGATCCAGGAACGATTTGCTTTTCAGTCAGATTTGCTGCTCTCCTTGAGCCAGAGGCCACAGTGAGGAGGATCCAGTCATGGGAGACGGAGGAAAAGCTGTCCCTGGGAAACTCTTACCTCCACGTCCCGCTTCAGCTTTTCAAGGAAGTTCTTTTTACTCTCTTCTCCAACATGCAGCTTCTGACCCTCATTCAAGAAGTCGTTGTCCTTGAACGTTGGTAGATCCTTGGCCTGCAATAAAAAGCCTGTGTCAGATTTTCCAAACCTCTGCTCCTTGGGGGAGGGCTGGTACACGGCTCCATCAGCCGTGTGTTGATTGCACAGACTCTGATCGAGTGTGGGGCTGCACCAGGATCTTTTGCCTGTTTGTAAGGTGAAGTGGCTCATCCTGTCCACTGAGTACGACAATGGCACCAGGCAGAGCCCAGCGGTTGTCAGTGAATCCACGTGCTGAGCTGTACCTGGGGGGAAACTGAAGGGAGACAGAGAGCAGCTCCGCTCTAAAGACTGCCGGGAAGATGTGCTGCAGGCTGAAAGCTTGGCAGCTGGGCTCCAGCCAGAGAAGGTCCAACCAGCTCCCAGAATAGAAAAGAAATGCATTTTGTTGGCTTCTGACTCTTTCTCATTTCCTAAAAAAAAAAAAAAAAAAAAAAAGAAAAGCTTCTCTCCCTAAAGGCTTGAGGAAAAAATTAAAACCACTGCTTTTGGAGCAATCTGCTTGCAGCATGCCCTGAGGATTTCTCAGGGATATGGAAGAACATACAACCCCTTTGTGCAACTGGGAATTAAATTATTTTCTTCTTAGAATGACATACGAGCGTGTGGTGGCTTTATATAGATCTACTATGAATGGTCTGAGACAAACTGCATAAGCAGAAAAAGCCAGGAATTAAACAGCCAGCAAGCTGGGGACGTTTGGGCACGATGAAGCCGTGCCTTGACGGCAGAGCAGTCTGTGTGAACGGGAGTTCCTCGGCTCACGCCAGAGATCTAACGTTAGGGCAGGCTGGAGCAGACTTACTCTGCAGCCCCAAACCTGAAAATCCCACATGCAAACGCAAAACATGGAGTACCATGAGTTACTGCTGTGATTTCAACAGGTTTTTTTCACGCCAGCGTCACAGCCAAAGTTTTGCAGGGGCAAGATTCTTAGTCCTCAGTTTCTCTAACGGCACCAGAAACCAAACTTCCAAATGTGCTGAGATACACCAGGAATCTGAGAGGAGCTGGTCTGGTTTATAAAAGCACCTGTGGCAAAAGCTAACTGCTGACCTGACTCAGTTTGGTACACAGGGAGCGCCATGAAGAACTCCCTCCATAAAGACACCGTTGCACTAACGTGGGGTTTGGTACTTGTGGGATTGTCCCCCGAGAAGTTGCCCCCACTCCTGACAGTGTCAACGTAACAGAGCAGGGCAGGGCAGCACCAGATCTGCACCACCTCTTCCTGAGCAGTTACTGGGCACAGCCTGAACGGCGGGACAGAAACAGGTCATCAGTCAGGGCTCATTTAACAGCCCCTGCTCAATACCCCTTTGGGAAAGGGAAGTCAGTTGGATCCCATCTGCTTCCAACCACCAGGAGGAAGGAAAGGCTGGCCAGGGATGATCCATACCTTCTCCTTGTCGCTTGCTTCCCTGGATACTGTTGAGCCCTGATAAAAGAATAAAGAAAAGAGCATTGCTGCATTATGTGTCATATTCCTGAAGAATGCATAGACACAATTTAATTCCTCCATGCAGAAAAATAGTGGAAATATTTTTAAAATCAGTGCTCAATCCCTTTTTCAGGCCCGAGACAGACGTACAGATCTACCTGGGGTAGTGCAGGCCACTTGGGAGAGGGGGATGGAACATCCGAGCCTCAAGTGAAGCCCCAACCAGAGCCCCCTAATGCCCTGGACAAAAAGCAAAGCCCAGGACCTTGTCAAGTAGGTGTCACAAAGACCAGCTCCCGCCCGTGACCGCCCTCCAAACCCTCACCTTCAGGTCGTATTTCCGGTGCACGGTCAGCCTGTGACTGAACACGTTCCTGGTGACCACCATGTAGGTTTCCACGCCGTCCACGGTGAGCCGGTACATGCCAAGGAACTGGGGCAGGAGGGTGTTCCCATGGCACTCCACTATGAACTGGAGGAGAGCGGGGAAGGGGAGGGCAGAGAAAGACAGTGCTGTCACACAAAACCGACCGCCGACAGGAGACAAGAAGGTGAGAGCGAAGCCTCCAGTTCCAGCCACCTGACACCGGCGTGAAAGGAAAGAGGGCTTGCAGAGGGCTCCTGGAGCCTCAAGAGCAGCAAGTTAGGGCACTGGAAGAACCTTCCCTCTCCGCCCGGAGCTGGGACAGAGCATCCCATTGCGTGTGCACATCCCGCCTGCTGTAACAGGGTAGGTGCGCACGCCCGTCACCCCAGCTCAGCTCAGCGAGGCTGTTGTCGGCACGGGGTAACTTCATTCCTTGTGGTTGTGTGAGTGTATCCGAAAGCGAAGAGCAGATGGACTCGTGGATAGCGTGGACCAGAGCAGAACACCTCCAGCTGCCCCACTTTGCCCCCTCTTCCCTGCTGCACCTAACTGTCACCTCCCTGGTCCCTCTGGAAAGTCGAATTCAAAGGACTGAATCAGGAGCACGTTTCCAGCTCTCAGGCGCCAGCGATCCGTAATTCACTGATGTAAGGAACAGGGTGAGCTGCGAAGGGGCTCAGCACTGCAAAGAAACAGGCAGCTACGCCACGCTTGGCTCTCAGACGCTAAGGAACACCGTTTTCTTCTGCAAAAGCTATCTGCAAGCTCTGCCAGGTTGCACAGCGTAAATCCGAGCTCCAGCTCCCCAGGAAATCACACGATGCTCCCCAAGGCGTTTGCCACCTCCCCTCCCCAGGGTTCCAGACTCACCGTACCTGATGGTACTTCTTTAAGATGTTGTGCATCTCCGCTACATCCTCGCTTGACACTGCCTTAATGACAAACCTCCTGTCGTAGGTGGTGAGGAACCGGGCCCCACATCGGCCCTGGCTGTCGCTGTTCACTGGGGCGCTTCGCGTCACCGAGTTCTGAGGGAACCAGAACAAAGAAGTGGGGAGGAGAGACAGAAACTGCCGCCTCCCTGGAGAAGAAAGAACATCAGTCTTGGAAAGCAGGTAAGACGTGGGTGACCAGGGCCAGCTCCACAACCTGGCTCTGGAACAACAGACACCCCAGGGACTTTGTGCTCCACGTTCATAGCTGGGACAGTGTCCTGGGCAAGCTTCAGAGCCCATCTGCAAACACACTCCAGCCGTGACCGTTACAAAGCAAGCGTCCTCGAGTGCTCAGCTCCACTGACGTTAACCCAATTATTTAGAAGCCTGGACACGGAGTTTAGAGCTTTCATCCGGGCCTTCTATTTGTCTGCGTGTTTTACTCCAACACCTGGCATGCGCTTTTGAAAATGTTTTTTACTAAGGGGTTTTGAAAGAGGCAGTATACACAGGCCAAGACTTCTTAGCATTGCCTCCCGGGAATTTAAGAACAAGAAAGGGTATTTCCAAGATTTAAGGAAAAACAGAACAAAATGAATGAAACGGCCTGCCTTTTTTTCCCCATCAAAAAGCAGCCTAAACCGGCAAAAGTCTCATTGTTTGGGAATTCTTTACAGGTCATCCTGAAAACAAAAGCCACCCTCAGCCTCTGCTATTCTTACCATCGGACCAAAAAGATTGTGAGTATAAATAGGTTGGTTGTTCTTCCAACAACCGGCAGCATCTGTCTTCGTATCCTTGTCTCCATCCTTAGCAAGGAAACATTGCAGCTTCTTTTCATACTTGTAGCACAGTTGGAAAACCCCAACTGCAGAGCAGTTCCCTGAGCCACAACATGAGCTCTTCGTTCTGAGGCCTCTCCCCAGGCAGGGGGACTTGCTGTGAGCCTCACCCCACTGTTAAGAGCCACTGCTCTTCACACCTTCCAGGCTAAGCCAAGCAGGTCACCAGTCTCCTGCTTGTTTCCTCCATCCTTTCTCATCAACTGCCTTCCAACTCCACCAGCCCAGGGTGTTTGTTCAGAAGCCATTTTGTCAACCAACAGTACAGGCTCTCACAAGCATTTCCTTGCCGCTGGTGCAAGCAGATGGGGAGAGCTGAGAGCTGTGCTCTGAAACACAGCGGTACCGACACCTGGATAGGTCTTTAGCTCAAGGCAGATGTGGCCTTTAGGATCTCAAGGCCGGACAATGCATTTCATGATGGTTTTTTTTTTTTTTTTTAGCTGCTAGTTACACTGTTCTCTCCTTCCCTCAGCTCTCTGAAGAGCCGACAGCAGAGGGAGCCTGCTCTTCTGCAGCCGCAGACACCCAGGCAAGCAGAGCCTGCTGCGAAAGAAGGATTTACCATGTCACGCTGCAAGTGAGCCGAGAGGTTTCCTTTCAGAATGAAGCATTTAAAGCTTTTAAAACTTTAATGAAGCAGGGGAAAAACTCTACTCCTGCCAAAGGCTTCAGAAACCATCAGGAAAATAAAAGGCAAACAAAAAACCCCCTCGCTTCTTACTGACCTTTGCAAATCAGTCTGTGCTACGCAGTTTAATCACCCCTCACCTCAAAGCCACAGAGCTTTTCTTCTAGAGGAGATGGGAAGCAGAAACTGTGACCACATATGGACATTACTAAACTCACAGGCCTTCGGTTTACTTCGTTCCCTTCCTGTCACTCCCACCTCTTCCACAGTTCGGGGGCTATATTTAGCATTCTGGCTCGATTCCCACTCAAGCCATCACATTTTACCCACCTGAATTCAGCTCAATGAATGTTTTCTGCCTTCTGTTCTAGCTGGACACTTTTAAAGAGCCAGACTGCTCTACCTCAGAAATGGGAGCAGCAATGCTTCAGAGCAACAGGTAAGTGTAAATGATAAACCAGGTATTGAGAACGAACAAGATGGTGAGCGCTTCTATGTACGTTACTTCACGTGGTTCTCATAATTTCTTAAAAGAAACTGAGAAAAAAAAAAAAATCTAGAATATACTATAGCAGATGGACTGGGAGAAAAAATAAGGAGCTAATGACTTCACTGCACGCAAGTACGTTGAAGGGTACAGAGGAAGCCAGCACACAAATTCGTTCCCTGCTACAGCCAGCCCCAGGGGCAGGGTGTTGCTGGCCAAGCAGTCTCCTCAAGAGCCACACAGAGCCCGGCATGAGCTACTGTCAGCGGACCAGGTGGCCATGGCACTGCTTCTCCTGGCAAAACGCCACCACTGCCTCGAGAACAGGCCTGACGGTGGGAGGGAAAAAATAAACTTCATAATCTAAAGGCATGTGCTCAAGAAAAGCATGGACTGAGCAGCCCTGTCCTGAATATAAGAGATCTTCCATCACCAGCAGGAGAGATGTGTGTGCAGCTCGTGGCTCACAGGTCATTCCAAGGCCCTGAGCACACGCAGGCACCACGAACGCCACCTGCCTCCTAACGCCGGGCTCAGCTCTGTCTCCGGCAGCAGAGGGGCAGTTGCCCAGCAGCATTTACTGTTCCTCCTGGGGATGGCCGGCCCCTTGCAGAAGAAAAGCAAAGAGGACTGTCAGTTCTGCTCGGAAAACGCGTCTCGCTTTGAGCCAACACCCTCAGAGCGCCCTGCGTGCCTGAGAACAGGCAGCAGAGCAGGATGGAGCCCGGCAGCCAGGAGAGAGGCAACTGAGGCAGTGACACAAAGCAGCAAAAAGCCCTGACCACCAGTCCCGGTATCCTCAGGAGGTCATCCCTTCTCACAGAGGGACCAGCGTGCTCCCCGCTGGGTCTGGGGACAAGAGGCAGAGGATGGGATGCAGGTGCTACACATCTGCTCCCTGCCCCATCCCACATGAGAGCAGAAACTGGATCAAGTAGATCCAGTGCCTCACCAGTGCAATAAACCACACAGCTGGAGTAAGAAAACAGATCTCTTCATTATATTAACCTTGAAACAGGGTGAGATCGGGCAATAATCTCGATACAATCAGGGAAAATTTTGACTCGCCTGGGGAGGGCGTATACACAGACGTATGCGGACATGGGCACACACACACTGCAGAAGGAAGCAGTGTGGCGGGACGAGCGGGAACAGCTCTGCTCCCATCTCATCCCGCCCCTCCAGCGGCAGCAGGGAGCACGTGAAGCAAGAAAGGGAGAGAGGAGCAAGCAGCTCGCGCCACTCCCCCACAGCCCCAGCGCTAACGTGCCTCTCTGGGCTGGCGGACTGCAGCGAGCAGTTCAGTCGAAGCCCTTGACCAGTCGGTGCTGGAGCCCTGCCAGCCTTTATCAACCGCAGCGGAGCGCCGAAGATACCGGGTTTAATCACCTAACGCTCGGCCTGCCAAAGGCCACGCAGCTATCAAAGCCGCCCTCTTTTCTGCACTGGCTTTTCCCTCATTGAAGAGGTCTCTAAGCTGCCCGCTGCTACACATCTCCTGCCGGCATCAGACCAAGAGCTGCGTGTGGAGGGGTGGCCCTGCTCTAGCAGCAAGACTTGTGACATCTCTCTTTCACTGGATTTAAGCCCAGAAGTATTAATATAAGAAAACGTCTCTCCCTTCCAAGGCAAGTCCGAGCCTCCGGCCTCGGGGACGCATCCCAAAGCAGCAGCCACCTTGACAAACCCAGTTCAACAGCACCAGTGCTTGGCACGCACACTTGGTTAAAGCAGCGCCCGAATCCGTAAAAACACGACAGACTCATTCTCCTTGCAGATGTTCTGCACTAGATCATTGTTATCCTCCAGCTCCTGCCTGTCTGCAACCATCTGCTCCCTCTTATTTCATGCCTAGACTGTAAGCTCTCTGGAGCAGGGACCATCTTTTCATTCAGCAATTGCCCAGTGCTTGGCACAGCAAGATCTACTCCACGGCTGTGGGCCCTCAGGGTTATGGTAAAACCATTCACACCAGGATTATGAACCCATAAAAACTGACCACGCAAGAAAGCTGATATTGTAATTGCTCTGCCAGCTTGGTTATTCTGTCCTGGGGAAAGGTGTCAGGAGGGCAGGGAGAGAAGAGACAGTACCTGGTAGTCTTGGTCGTCAATCCCAAATCTTTCTCGGAGGTTTCGGAACACCAGTGGACAATATTCCTTAAATTTAAAGCGACTTGGCAAGTTTTCCCTAGGGCAAAGCAGAAAAGATATTCTTGTGCAATGATCAGCTTGTGAAATCAAACTCAATTCTTCTCCCACTTCACTGCTAATCCCCCAGGATATCCAAGCCCCCTCCTACCTACAAGGGCCCTATTCTGCAAGCATTTACCCTCATCAGGGCAGCTTGTTTCTTTGGATGCCTACAAAAGTAAGCTGTTCATAGAAACGCTTGCAGGATCCAGCTTTTGAGTAACAGGCTCTTTGAATGTGTGTGTCTTACAGAACAATCTCCCCTGTCACAAGCACAGATCTGACAGCATCATTTTGCTCTTTCCTCTTCCTTTGTCGCTTTGTTCCGTTCAGCAACGCAGCTGCCCCCTGCAACACACTGTTACTGTTTAAGATGAAAAGCTGGAGGAAAGCCGGGAGGGGTGTGGGGGGGGGCCCTCCGATTTCAGATCAGATCAGATCACTCGTGCGTCAAAAGAAAGGTCAACACACGGCAAACCATCTCACCCAGAATGCAAAGGAGAGGGAGTGAATCAGCTCCAGTCTGGCATGTTCCAGACCAGTCCCAACCGCTACAGAGCGAGCTTTGCTGCCAGACCTCGCCAGCTGGGAACGGGGCCTCCCCAGAGCACAGTACAGCGGACAAGACGACGTTCCCCGTCGCTGAGGGATCCTGCATCTACTCCCTACTGGAGCTCTTATCCTGCCCAGAGGGAAGAAGCGGAGAGGATGGTCCTGCTTGGACACAGTGGGAGATTCTGCCAGCTCATTCTCAATGAGAATCCCTCGCACCAATACGTGGGAAACTAAAATCTATGTAGGAGAAGAGGGAAGAGCAGATACTGCAAATTGTAGGTGCCAGAGAAGACAAACTTTCGAATCACACTCCCACTCTCAAAAGCTGATCCATGTGAAACTTAGTGAAAACGAAGCACTGATCAGGGAGCGCTGCAGACCTGCACACACCCAGACCCAGGGCGGAGAACACGGCTCTGAGCACCAGTCCCACCCGTGGCTTTAAAGGGCTTCTAAAACCTGATCTTTTGGGCAAAGGACAAGGGGGTACAAACCCCATGGGCCAGGGGTATAAGGCAGCTTCACAGCTGTCTCCTCCGAACAGTCTCACAGAGACAAAGAACCGAGGAGGTCACAGACAGCAAACTCCTGCCCTCTCCTCCATGGTCTGGGGATGTGGGTTCTGCTGGTCAGGGCAGGACACCCAGGCAGGGCACAGCAGGAGTCAGGAGACAGTCCTGCATCAGCCTGGTGCATGCCCAAGACGTGCAGCAAACGCCAGCCCTAGGGGCTTTGGACAAGCCACACTTTGTGAACTGTAAAATAGTGTCTTCTCCCCAGCCTGGTGAACATCTATGTGTAACTAACTTTGCAGTAGTGCCACTTCTGAGCCTGGCCTGACCAGACTTCCCATCACTCAAAGGACATAAACCAAACCACAAGACAGCATCTCAGTGACAGACTGACTCCCTGCTGTGTCTTGTTGAGTGGTCTGGGCACGGCACAGACTCGGGCATGTGGCCAGCCAGGCCAGAGCCTCTTGATGTTAAAATGGGGAGCAAACCAAAAGGCCTTTACCACGGCGGCCGTTTCCTCACAGCAAAGAGCTCTAATTACAGAGACAAACAAGTTGGGAAGCACCTACTTACTTGTTGAATAGATGATTGTCCACCTTAATCTTACTGTAGGCTTTAAAGTCATCAGGCATTAACATGACAGGGACAGGAACATTGCTGAGTTCATTGATCTAAAAGAGAAAGGAAAAGGAGACTCAAACCCCAGGTCCCACTGCCCTGCAGGTCCTGTCACTGGACTTACAGGGATGCCGAATACCCCAGAAGCTGGTTTTGAAGCAATATAACCCATCAGACTTTCAGAGCAACTTGCTGCATGGAGGGAACCTGGAGAACACCGTGGTGACAAGCCACAGAAGCATCTCATTCAACCACGTGGCGAGTGTTCCCAAGCCAGCCTCGGCTCTTTCATCTGCTCACCTTCCACCGATCATCCAAGACACAGCTTAGAATCGAGACAAACCTACAGGCCAAGAAATAGCAGATTTTATGTCTTAAATGAACCACCTTTGCCTTTATTTAAGAAATGTTGCATCAGCCAATTTCTTAACTAGTTCTCACTGTTACAAATCACAGATGACCGAAGCCTTCAGCATGGCCAGCCAGAACAGACTCCGGGTAGCTTCGGTGCGGCACAGCACAGCTGCCCTGTGGATGCCGTTTCTGTGCTTGCTGTCTCCTCTCGCTCTTATCCCACCTTCTCTGAAGGGATGAGTCACTCCACTAGATTGTTTTTGCTCCTTAGTCATGTGTGGCAGCCACAGGAACACAGGGAAGCAGAAGAATGAATGTTCAGCTACTATTGTACAGACAGGCTGATGCCAGAGCACCCAGCAGTGAAGGCATTAATAGCATAAAACAAAACAACAACAAAAATCCCCCTCTGGACTATCTCTGGCCACCCTGCTCCAGACAAGCCCAGGCACTGACAAGGCTGTGCCAGCGTTCAAGAGCAGGTCAAGAGGCGGCACGTTTCGGAGCTGCCTTTTCTGAGGACGGCCCCAGTGTCGTTCCTTCACGCAGACTTCACAGGAGTCACACCGGTCCCATCTAACTGAACTGCTATTACCGTGCTGGATTTAGGAAGCAAATTTCATTACAACTCCATTCCCATAATTACTGTGCCCAGCAGGTAACGCTGGAGAGAAGCGGACAACACTGGCAACAGCGGGGTTTGGCTAGGAGTCAGGCCTGGGGTCTGTTCCCAACACCAAAATCGCAGGCAGGGCAAGTGACAGCGACTTCCAGCACGCCTGGAAAGCACACAGCATTTCCCTGCTGACCGGGAACAGGGTCCAAGCTGTCAGCCTAAGGAAATGGACTCCAGCTCTGGGATTCCCCCTTCCTTGCGTGCAACAGGACACACAATACTGTCCAAATAGCTGCTGCCACGTCTCCTCCAAGGAGATGGAGATGAAAGGAAGCGTGATGGAGCCATTCTGCAGCGGGATCTGTGGCACAGTTCAACTCTGCAAGGACCAAGGAGGTCCCAGCTCTGGAGACGTGCAGCGAGCTGTCTAATTATATGAGCAAGCCTTTGATGAGGTACATATTTTTCACATCCTTTCTCCATCATTACCAGCGAAAAAACAGACCAGATTTAACAAACGTCAGACTGGAAGAAAGACACATACACGCTGCAAAGAGAAAAGATGACTATTTTCAGAGACAGCCATCCCACACAACAGATAAGCAGAAAGTAAACCGGCTACTGCTCCGTTAAGAGCAGAGATGGTGCTCTTTAAAGCCCTGCCTGTATTTACTTTCTAGCAGCACCGAGGAGCATTAAGCACTCCCATGAAGCGCTTTGGGATGTATGGAGAGAAATTCCTGCACAGAGGAATGAATAAATAATGTCATAGGCCTCCCATCACTTGTAATCACAGCGGAGCAGGGAGGCCGGTAACCCCCGGCTTAAGCTAAAGGCTCAATCCTGCACTGAGCCGCTCCTCCAGGCGCAGCGAGAGGAGAGGAAAGGCAAGAGGAGCACAGGTGAGGGAGGATCTCCCAGATCCTGCAGGAGCTGGGAGCTGGATCAGACAGCCCCAGGCAGCGATCTCCCCTCAGGGTGAAGAGAAAACCGCTAATTCTGTATCAACACAGAGGCGCTGCCTCCAGCCACTAATTATTGCTGTCTAACAGGAGGGGAAGCCCGACAGCACAGCTCCTTCGACACGCCTGTTCTCAGCCCTCTTCTTGGCGGTGGGTAAGGCACAAACAAGCTATTATCAGCTTGTTCCAGAGTGGAGGAAGGGTGCTGACGGCTGAGAGGGAACAGCGATTTGGAGATTGTCTCCTCCCTGCTAGAAATTCAGACACAAACGTTAGCAAAGCGAGATGTCAAGACGTCTCTGGATGTCCTCATTTCTGCCAAAGCAGAAACCTCAAAGCAAACGTGGTACCTGTTGCAACCCTCCTGACTGGCAGAAATGGTGCGCCAGGATACCTCGGCTCATTGAAAAGATGCCCCGACTCTTCCAAGATATAACAGCCTGACAACAGCCCAAAAAAAAAAAAAAATCCCCCCTGCAGCAGCCTTTCCCCTCTTCCATACAGCAGAGCTTTCTGGATGCTTTGGGATTCCAGCTCCGGAGGAGATGGGAGAAGGAAGGGATTTGTGCTGAGGACTAGAATCGCTGCCAAAGAGCTGAAGTGGCTATTTCTGGCCCCGGCACTGACAGCCTGCCCTCCGCCGCCCAAGGCAGCTCCTGGTCAGATTGCTACTGGGCCTTTGTTCCCGACACCAGTCTGAAAGCAAACACGGGTTTGGTTAGCGATTTTGGGGTTGGTTTGATTGTTTTTTAAGCAAGAGGGACGCGCACTGCTTGCTCCCACAGTAACTCCCGTGCTCGACGTTTCCCTCAGGATCCCAAAGGGAGAGGACCGAAAAGCCCTCACGCTGCCTGGGAAAAGGGATATCCCAAACCCTCCCTTCCCGTAGTACAATCCTCAGCATCCCTCGCCCCTTTCTAAGGATGATCAGGCCAGGTCACTGGCAACACTAGGAGACCTTGCCCAAAGGAAAGCAGAAGCTCTACAGGGATCCTCTCCCGGGCTTCTCATGGTGGAATCTGAGCAGCCTCCGAGAGCAACGTGACTAACGCCTGGCACATGTTTGCTCTCTCGCCTTCTCCCCAGGGAGAGGCGTGTAGCAGGAGATTATATATAGCAGCGTGTGTGTCGCTGGTGTATTTATGCTACAGAAGGCAAGGTCAGAGCAAGGTGCCCAGCAACGAGGTGCCCAGCAACCCCCGGCTCCCGGGGAGCCCGTTCCCACGGCTCTGACCCGCCTGTCTCCCCCAAAGAGATGTCACCCAGCTGCAGAAAGTTTGCCTGTACCTGGATCTTTGGTGATCTCTGGGGCTGGGCACAAGATGGACAGCGAGATCTTGGCCATGGTTCTTTGTTCGGGAAGAGGCAGCTGCAGAGAGCAGAGGTGCAGCAGCAGAGAGCACCGCAGTCACACACCTCGGTCCCTCACCGCCGGGGTCACGGGCTATTTTGAGAAGCACAGCAACCGCGAAGAGCAGGTCCGTGCTGTGCAGCAGACTCTGCCTGGGGTATTTCCACACCTCCACTACAAAGGCTTTAGAGGTCCCCAGAGCGGAAAAAGTTAAGAATGGCTAATGTAGAGCACAAGCTCTTCAGATCAGGGATCTGCCTCCAGACCCAGCATGATGCTGGTTTTCTGTAACTCATCCAGCTTTTTTAGACCTAATCTGCTTTTGAATCCTCTTGAAAATAAGCCCATGTTTTTGCACAGTCCTCTTACACCAGGAGTTTTCTATTCCTCCCCTGGCTAGAAAACACAGACAACCTCACAGGGACCAGGCCAGGCTGAAAGTGCCATTAAGAAGCGCATTTTGCCACTTCCACCTGCATTTTGCAGAAAGATGCAAGACGCTGGCGCTGCCCCTCCCCAGGTCAGAGTCAGCGTGAATGGCACGTGCCCGTCAGCCTCACAAAAGGCCCAGACAGGCACCAGGCTCGGAGGCTCTCAGCTGAGCCCAGAGGATTTAAAAACCAAGACACATTTTAGACAAGCCAACTGACACCTTCACAAGGCAACAGCAAGGGCACCAAGAGAGAGACGCTTCCCAACCCTCTGCCGGTTTCACCAGATTCTGAGGACGAAGCAGCGATTCCCCAAGCAAGGCAAGCAGCCCCGTGTGTCCAGAGGCCACCCCAGCAAAGAGAGGGGTACGACAGCAGATTGCCCGGCGTGTCAAAACAGCCACAAGCCCAGCCAGAGCGGCAGAGGGAAAAGGCAGCCAAGACCAGGGCTTGGGGCAGCAGCAGGTGACAGCGGGAAGACCCTCCTCTCTCCAAAGCCACAACCGCCACCCTCCTCCTCCCTTCGCCCAGCAGCCAGAGGAACAGCAAGCTCAGCTCCGCTGCTTCTCCAGCTCCCTGGCTAGCAGCTCTCCCCTTCCCCCCGCAGGAGTGGCCGGGCCCTTCAGCCCCAGTCAGCAGATTTCATTTTTGCCTACGCCGCTGAGAAGTTTACAGCCAACCCCTGGCCTTACACGGCTGGAAAAATACCACCTCCCTTCTGTCTGTTAAGCTTTGATTTCCTGGTCACTTCAATTCTTGAGCCACACCAGTCAGTATGACGCTGGGTTGATCTTTAGGTGATAATTTGTCTCCCCCACCAAAGCCAATTCTTTTTTCAATAAAAGACACATCAATATTCTGTGTCATTCAGGGACAGCTGTTGGAACGAACGGGCCAGGCATAATTTTGTTTCAAAACCTGACTGTAGCCTCAAAGTGGCAATTACCATTAGTAAATTGATGGGAAAATGCAATTTGTTTACTAACAAGATCCAGATGATGGAGTGTGTGAGTCTACTCTCTAGGATTCTTTACAACAGGAATTTGCTCAGGAAAATAAAAATACTTTGTTCTTCTCAAGGCCTTTCAATCAGGCATCTCAAAATACTTTGCAAGCACTAGTTAAACTTCGTAATACTCTGGGGAAGTAGGTAAAAGACACACAGCAAAATCACTTTAGCATGGAGATGAACCCACATCTGCAGCAAAACTTTGCTGCTGCTTAACACAATACAGCAACTGGGCAACGCTTTGAGGGAAAAAAAAAAAATGAAATACAGTTTTCCATGAATTAGAGCATGATTAATCAGCATCCAAGCTAACAAAACCCCCAT